GAGTCTGCTTCTCCCTCTGACCCTCCTCCCTCTCATGCTCTCTGTCTCTCATTCTCTCTCTCGCAAATAAATAAAATCTTAAAAAAAAAAAAAGATGCTCACTCTTTTGCTTCTATAAAAAATGTCAGAACCAGAAAAATCAGAGATAAAATCTGTGCTCATGAGGCTGATGTGCAAAAGCAGGCATCTGAGAATTGTAGTACCTATTTTAAAGTGCTGTTATAGTCATTTATTGGTTGGTTTATGTTAGGTAAGTTAAATTTTCTGACTGCTTCATCATCTGTAAAGTGGTGACAATTATCCCTACACAACCTATCTTATAATGACTTAGTAAGAAAATTGACATAAATTTACAAATACAGAACATATATCATTTATTATTAACTATATCACTAATAGGCATAATCAAATATATTTTGAGAGGCAGTGTAACAGAGTAGAAAGAGTATGGTCTTCAGTCATACAGATCTGGAATTGAATTCCATCTTTGTCATTCATTGTGTGATTTGGGGTAAATGACTTAACCTCTTTGAGATTCATTTTCTGTGTTTATAAAAGGAGTATAATATTATTAACCTAATAAGGCTTTTGTGAAGATTAAATGAGATCTTGCATGTAACACAACTACTATAGAGCCTGACGCTTCATAGGTACTCAGCAGATTTACCCTCATACCTCCCTAATTTGGGACCAGCTTTCATATGCTAACATGAAAATCCTGAGCTTCTATTTCCACAATTAATGCTAAACCACATTAGTAACTAGCATCTTAGGTCTTCAATAGTCCTCATAAAGGATGTTTATTTGCTGTGTTCCTGGAACTAAATTATAAGGTGAGCAGCCCAAATTGTAAGAGTTCAGCATACATATCCTTTTAAGTGGTAAGAGGTTATTGCTGAGGCATCTTTAGGAATATTTTATTATGAAATAGGATGTGAAACTTGTGATGAATATTAAAAGAGATCAGGGACACTGGAATACTGGAAAAACTACTACTGAAAAAATCATCTTAAGAGTTGTTGGTTTTGTTTTTGGTTTTGTTTCTATTGGGTCCTCACACAAACCCAGAAGCCAAGCAGACTTTATTATACTGTTTAAAGATGAAGAAATCAAGGCACAAGTAAAAAAACGACTTGCACGTGATTCACTGGTCATTGGGGAACAACCAAGATTAATCTTGGTCTCTTGACTCCCTGATCAGTGCTTGTATTTTTTTTAATAACATAAAATTCACAGTGTTAACCATTTTTAAGTGTACAGTTCAGTTAAGTACATTCACGTTGTTGTGCAACCAGTCTCCAGAACTCTCTTTATCTTGCAAAACTGAAACTCTGCCCCCATTAAACAACAACTCCCCATTCTTCTTCCCCCAGCCCCAGGCAACCACCATTCTACTTTCTGTTTCTATGAGAGTGACTACTCTAGGTACCTCATATAAATGGAAGCATGTAGTATTTGTCTTTTTGTGACTGGTTTATTTCATTTAGCATAATGCCCTCAAAGTTCATCCATGTTGCAGTATGTGTCAGAATTGCCTTCCTTTTTAAGACTGAATAATATTCCATTGGATGTATATACCACATTTTGTTTTTCCTTCCATCTACCAACAGACACTTGGGTTGCTTCCACTCTTGGCTATTGTGAATAATGCTGCTGTAAACATGGGTGTTTAAAATCTCTTTGAGACTTCCCTTTCAACTCTTTTGGGTACATACACAGAAGCGGAATTGTTAGATCATATGGTAATTCTAATTTTTTGAGGAACCACCATACTGTTTTGAGGAACAGCTATATATAGCAGCTATACCATTTTACATTCCCACCAACAGTGCACAGAGGTTCTAA